TCACCGTTCAAATGCAGTATGATACGGCAATCGAGCCCATCGTCTCTACTGTATTACCCAATCCTCTAATAAATTACATATGTCTTTATTCCAAAGATTACTCATATCAAAATAAGATTAGTCTAAGAACAACATTGCGTAAGAATCTTTAATGAAATTTCAAAGAGAGATCAATCGATAATTAATTCTATCACCCTTACAAAGAATATTTTTCATTGAACCTAATTTCATGAAACCTAAAAATATCAAAATGCCAGCAAGAGATATGTAAAATGTTTGAAGAAATTCTTTTAATAAACTTGAATTTGTCTTCTACTATCCCTCCATTTCTAAAGTAAGGCATTAAAATGCAAATTGCCACCACCAGCCAATTGTTAGATGCTGAACGCCAAATGCCAAATGCTGAACACCAATGGCCAAACACCATCCAGAAAATTTGGAGACTAAAATAACATGTCACCACTTCTGGCGGTGACAAAAAAACTGAAAGAAAAACTTGAGATTTATAAAATGCAGAAATATCTCTTGGTATTTCTGGAAAATAGGCTTATAAAGAATACTATGAACAAAACATTTTGTAAAATTGTGATAAATTATCCTTCAACTTGTCTCCATCCTTTGTTGCCCCTTTAAAGGGCTCTTTTAGCCTCAATAATAACACAACATACAGGCATTTAATCATACTCCATGCTTTCATTACCAAGATATAAATTAGAAATTACATTTCGTAACTACTTGTCCAAAGGCAAGCACTTAATATCCTTTCCCTTTTGACTAAGTAAATTATTAGCAGCATAAAATGTTGAATAATACCTTCATAATACATTTTACATTTTAGGCCATGACTAGAATTTTGAAAGCAGATTGAATATGATTGAGAAATAAGTACTAACTGAAGCTATCTTCACTATTCCAGATAACAATATCTTATTTCTTCAAACTCAAATTTAAAAGAGAAAATTATATAATAAGCAAGGAAAGGGTGACAGGCATATAGATAGTCAAAACAAAATTAGATGAAAACATGGAATTCTATTAATTTAGTATCAATGATAAAATAGTGAAATTTTAAAATAAAAATGCTTCGTATATTGCAATCCGAACACTTAGTTACGAGTTTCATTCTAAATCTGAAATGGTAAATTCCTGTTATTTCCCAATATACTGATTTTATTTTTGTTTCCATCATACCACTTGAAAATATGGGCATCCCAGTTGGATTGAACCTCATTTCACATTAGAGACTAAAATGTTCAATGCCAATCAACTAATGTTTTTGAGTTATGCAAATTCTGTCAATTGGAGCTAACAATTTCATTTCTTACATCAAACCCCAAAATTATATTAGATCTGTCATGTGGAGGCATCACTTATGTAATTTTGCGATTCGATTGATTCCTTCGTTAATAATCAGCTCTAGGCCCTTGAGATTCAACTGTGCTTTTTATGAAAAGTTGGAACAGCTGTAGTATCTCATGTGTATAAAATAACCTATGATATGATATTTAGATATCAAGAAAGAAAACTGAATCAAGAATACATTAGCTTAGTTAAATCAGTAAATGTAGATACTACAGAAAACTAACAAAAACTAGGGCGGTAATAAAGAAAGATAGTAAGGGACTAAAAGGGCATATATCATGACTCATCCTTTATTCTCTTCAACATGTATTTTTGGACATTTATAAATAGTTCCATTATATTATATCTTGACCAAATTACCAATACAAATAGAGAGATGGGGGGGGGGGGTTGTACCTATGTAAGGAGAGAGGTTAGTCTTGCTCAAAGACTGTATCCACCCCCCCCCCCCCTCTGTCACCTTCACTCTCTTTACCTGGCAATATACAGAGAGAAGGATAAAGGGGGGGGGAGTACAGGGTCTTTTAAGCAAGACTAGAGAGAGGTCAGACACAGGGTAAATGATAGGGGTAGCATCGAGCTGACAGGCTTCTCCTTTAGGAAACAATAGAATACAAGGCATGAGCCAACCACCACCACAAAAAAGTAAGAGGCTGTAACAATATGTCAACACTTCTGGTGTTGATGGAATTGCTGATGTGGCTTTTTACCTATGTCATAATATGGCCTCACTTAATACACCCAATCAACAGACCAACTAACCTGTAGATATTTGTCAAAGCACTGGGTAACATAGGATGTTTAATTTAATCTTCTTATAGCGTGACAGAGTATGTTTAGCATGCACGTATAACAAATATATTGTTAGTCGTAATAATAGATAGTGTTACATTGAGTGTTATGATAACTGAAAAGTGGTTGAAATGATATACATAAGAGGCAATCACAAGAGCTTCTTTAAATGCTTCAAACTATTCAAGTACAAACTCAGTGTTTGTCCCAGAGTTTGTCCCAGTTTTTATTCAAGCAAGTTCACAATTTTTTGAAGGTCAATTTCGTCGGAATTTGCATTTTATGATTCATCAAAGTAGGTGCAATAAGCTTTTCAAGAATTTTTGTGAATTTGATAATGAAAGACTGACTATAAGTATCACTGTCAGGATTTCCTCATCACTTAAAGTGATACTCAATGTCAAGGTCAAAATGCCTTTGTGTGGATAAAATGACTATCACTCTTAAGCAGCACTTTAAAATTGACATAATCAGAGAAAAACAATTATTCTTTTAAATACCAAATTCAAGAATGCAAGTCTTACAATAAATCATGGTATACCTGGGTTTACAAAATATGAACTGCTGCCGAGATAATCTCCCAGGGTCATTATGGCGAAAATAATCAAATATGATGGTTTGCTTTGTTTTTCACAACATGACTCGGACACTTTTAAATCCTCCATTTTGTTTTCATTAGCTTTGATGTCATTTAACCAATCAGTGATGAGGGTCATCTCTATATAAATTTATATTGAAGTTGAGTTCATCTTTGAACTCTGGGAGTTTTTCCTCCTCTAAATAAATCTGATGTCATAACATAAGTCATAACATGGTCAAAATAAGATTTGACTGTTTTTAATTTGATCATCAATATGGCCTTTGTATTTTTCCAGTCCTATAACTGTTAATATTTCTTTAGCTCCCAACTTTTAATTGCTGATAGCTTGATAGGTTTTTTGGTTTCAACATTTTCTATCGAGGATGTTCTAAAATTGTTATCAAAATGCAGGTATATAAGGGATTCCTTGACTTTCTTTAATTCAAATATAATTATAATTTTCAAGCTTTAAGATTGAAGGTTTACCTAAAATGTTAGGTGTAGCATTGCTTCAGATGCCAAACGCCAACCACTAAGTGCCACTTTTTGGGGGTGACAAAAAAGTATGTTCATTAAAACAAAGTGTGTTTGTTACACCTCAGTATACTTTATATCACACAAAAAATGCTGGCCCTGAAAAAATATTCCAGACAGTGTTCAATCCAATTAGGTCATCCAAGTTCCAGGCCAAAATGACATCCAAAACTGTTGATATATAATTACGATAAAAGGCAATTGCACGTGATGAAGCTTGATGGTTCTACATGTATTACAGCGAGGATCATGACAGCTAATAGAACTATGGTCCCTGTGGATAATATCAAAAGATATTGGCCTTTGAAAGTGGACACAAAACCAGGGAATTTAATGATAGATGAAATAGTGGTGTCAATTTATATCTTCCAATTCATTGGAAAATAGCTTTTAACCCTGGCCCGATGTCAGCCTGGACAAATGATGCGATAACTGGGAATTGCTGTACAAGAAAAGTTATTAACAGATGATTGACCGTTACGCCTACACAAATAATGCTATTCATACTCAAAAATACAATTTTGTATTTATCACCCACATACATCCAGAAAAAACACATTCTGATGTACCAGGCCCTCACTAATCAATGCTTTGGAAAGTTCCAAGACAAAGAGGACATGTATATCACAATTTACGAAAATCTCATTTTGATATTGACCAGTCAAAAGCTTAGATTCAGGTTATCATGTTTTTACTTTTAGAATGTCAAGGGAAGAGAACTAATATCAATTTAAATAAGATATTAACATCCACATCCACATAAGTCATTCCGAATTAATCTTGGAGAATGACTGATGTATGTCTCTGTTACTGATGACTTCAATGTATCATCTATCTTCTCTTTCTAAATTCTCTAAACATATTATACAGTATGTGGTATGAAACCTGCACCAAAATTTAATTAACTATGGCCAAAAGCAAAAAATACATCAGACTAGAGAGTGATAATTCATTTACTAATAATGTAAATGCCATTGAATAGAATGTGGTATAATATCAAAAGATTTGCATCCATAGGATGAATCTTTACACAAGGTAATCCTTCATTAAAAAACAAGGCATTTACATGCAAAAGATAATAACCTGCCATGTGTTATAGATGCTGATCCCAGAACACCATCCATAAAAAAGTTAGATACTGAAATAATATGTCACTATTTGTTGTGGTGACATAATAAAAATGCTAATACCTATAATGAATATGTCACCACTTCTTGGTGGTGACATAATAACCATTGAATACCATGCCTCTGATTATGGTATCCCTAATGCTGTATTTAATTAGTTCAAGTTTTCTATGATGCAACAAACATAAAGAATCAAGGAAATAATTGTAACACAATAATACATTTCAATCAATTAAAAAGCAAGCCCAATGTCCTGTTTAAGAACCTGTATTCTTACTATTGGAAATAGATTCTAGCAATACTTTTCTACATGAATGTACTTGTTGAGATTTGATCAACTTGAGTTCTTGTGAGAAAATGAGGATTTCAGTGAGGGTGTTAATATGGGGATGCAATTGACTTTATCCTGCATATCTACATGTACAGTGTAGGAGAGAATTGCTAGAATCCATTTTCAATGGTAAGAATAGGGGTTCTTAGACAGGACATTAAAGCTAAACCAATGCCTTTTTGAAATTTTTGGTTAGTACTATTCTTGTTAAGTTCAGCATAAAGAGTCGAGACCCATAATTAATGAGTGAGACCATGCAGATTAAATGACTTACCCATGTACCATGCCATTCTCTCTGTAATTGACCTGGATAAACTTGCCAAACCTACTGGAGTTGTTGTTATACACTGTCTTAGCGTTGCCAAATGCCTGGAAGAAATCATAAACAACATCAAAAATCATATTTGGATGAAAATACACTATTAGGCATGTTCTATATAAGAATAAATTAAAGATTTGTTACATAGAATTTATAGAGATTATCCAATATGAGGTTCAGGATATTGGGATTATCCCGAGGCTGTTTATTTCGAGGGTAGCTATATTATATTGGCCAAGAGATAATCTCAATATCCTGAGCCAACTATAAGATGATCTGTTTATCATAACTGAATGCTAGGTAAAATTCACAACTGAATGCAAGGTAAAATTCTCAACTGAATGCAAGGTAATATTCTAAACTGAGTACAAGGTCCAGATGGACATAAATTTTCAACTGAGTGCACACTGATTTTTAATTAGATGCAATGTGACGTTCAAATTCTTTACTTTAGGGATTGAATATGGGTTTTATTCCGAGGGACAATATGATATTGACCGCGAAGGGTAATATGATATTGACTGAGGGAGAGCAGCACATTGTTTGAAGTCTGCATGTAACTTCCTGTAAAATACACTGAACGAAATGCTTTTATCAATGAAATTAGTAAAGGTTAAAAATAACCGGGAAACAAAAATAGGTTAAGACAATCCAATTCGATTTTTTCCCAGGGACAATGCGATTTTTTCATGTAATACGCTCCAATATGAATTTTTCCCGGGACAGTATGCTTTTTTTCATGTCATACGATTCAATACGATTTTTATTCCTTCATATTTCCCTGGGAAAACAGTAGTATTATGGAATATACTTATTATTATTATATCCTCTAATGTATTATAACCTTTCTTAGCAATCATGGAAGAAACATGAAAATTGAAACACTCAGAGACAACTGACTTCGAATGAACAAAGTCTTGATTAATGTCATATCGTTACAAATGAGTAGCTGCTAAAGATAGAAACTTCAATGAATACATACAAATCTAATTTTTCTTTTTTCTATGGAACATTTTGAATAATGACGCCTGCAGAAGCATGGTTCACACATATATCTTAATTTGAGAAAATCAATAATAAAATTGATTCTGTCGTGAAGCAGGAAATATTTCCATTAACAACTGCATCCAAGCAATATGAAAAAAATCTCTCAATTTAGTCTCTGAGATTAATGTTCAACCTGTGTCAAAATAGACAAAATCGTATCATATGATTTTATTTTCATTGTTTCATTTGAAAAGCCTTCAGAGTGAATTACATCATGTTCTGTATAATCTTAGATTGCCTCATGTTTTGCAACATCAAAAATATTTGGCTACACCCCTGCATTCCTAAAATTAAAATGTGTGTGACTTTCCGGTATCTTAAAATAGTGTTTTTGGTAGGTGTTCTGCCCACAGAGGTTTATTTAAGATAAAGGCAATGGGTCACAGGACTGAAAAGTGTTCTACTTATAGAGTGTGTTCCACTTTTAGAGGTTCATTAACATCAAGTCAATGGGTCATGGTACTTCAAAAGTGTACCACTTATGGATGTTCTACTTGACATTTTTACCACTAAAGTCATATAACAAGTCACATTTCCTCTTTTCTACAAAATATATGACTACTATATACTACATAATTTCCAAGACTTAACACTCGCTTAATCTTCCTTAAAAACTTGAATGAGTTGCTGCATTTCTATTTAATTACTGACTTCATGTGTGTGTGTTTCAAAATCAGGACACCTAGGGGTCATTTTGTATGTTTTGCACTAAATTTTACACATTTTGTTCAATAAGTTCTGTTCTGTTTTGTTCATCTCTTGCAAATTAACAATATTCTTGACTGTATTTTTGTTACCAACAAGACCAGCTAGACATTATCTACATGGATGGGAAATATCATGGTTACCTTAACATACACTGGGGCCCAGATGCTGTTAGTAATATTATTGTATATAAAGCTCTCTCTTAAAGATGTAAAATCAAAAACTTGAAAAGGGTAACAGGTGCAGGGACATGTCAGAAGAAAAATTGAGGTCAGAAAAAATGTGATAATATTACATGTTCTGCTTGGATGTAAATACAGTTTTCTAGTGTGTTGGTTTACATATTCATGCATTCCTTAGTGGAAGTAGATATTGCCCTTGTGATTTCAATAGACTTTAGATACTCGTTTGTCATGATATCGCATGATCTAACTCCTTAACAATTTTAGGTAAACAGTATAGGGAATGGTGTATTGAGGGGAAAACAGCTAATAAAATGAGCATGCTTTCTTTTGCATTCAGCTTATTGCTTCACACAGACTTCATTCATAAATGTTTTAGAATCCAAGCAAACCTTGATTTCATAGCTGTAACATTAAATTCAATGACACATAAATAATATCATATTCTGACACTATGGGGGTGGAAATATGATTCAGTAAGGAAACGATTCCCAATTACTCAAATGCCCAGCTTTAGCAAGAGATCATTGCATTCTCAGCATGGATAACATAGATAACCATGACTACCTATTGTTACCCTGGTAACCCAGCACAACTTGTACACAACAAAATATCAAATCCCAGAGATACTGATTTCAATATTCTAACAGCAACTTGAAGAATGTGAACCCATACATAAAAGAAATCTTAACCATATTGCAAAAAAAAGTAATAGTAAAAGAAATACAAATGAGATGCCTAAAATAATATGTGAAATATACAAAACACAAATTGTCAAAAAATGTATTAGGAAACGACTATGGTATTCTTCGACACATGTGTAATAGAGGAACTATTTTTAGTAGAGGTACTATTTTTAAGTGAAGGAACTTTGGCAGAGGTTTTATTGAGTTAATTACAATCACATGAATTTAGATGGTTTCAAAGTTCATCAGACTGACACAAATATTCAACCAATGGCTTCATGGTGGCCAGAAACATGTTTTCGGAACATTTCCCGGAGAAACAGGTACTTAAAACAAGATTGCCATTGAGAAAGATCAAAGAGAACTGTTACTAAAAATAAACCTTCTACTGAATTTATAACTCAAAGACCAGTCTTGAATCAAGCCCTTCTGTAGCTATAGTAGTAGTGACATAAAACCACAAATGGGCTTTTGAATTACTTATTTTTTGATTGTTTCACTTACAGAATTCAGTATTTCAATTTGCAGAAAACTAGGGGGAGTGAATGAAAGATATTCATATACTTCAGTTGTTGCCCTTTGCACTTTCCTAACTGGCCCGATATTCAACAACAAACAAATACAAGAAATACAAATGCCAAACATCTAAATATTGAAAACCTTTGGTAAGAAGCCAGTGTTTCATAAAACAACTTATACACAAGAGACCCGGTAACCAGCTTATCTATGTTAGTCTGATCTTGCAATTCAAGATCTCAAGAATATAGCTCTCAATGAAGTATCTTAATCTTCTGACATGTTAACACTGAAACATTTCTTGGTTGAAAATAAACCAACTTCTGGAATTTTTGCTATTTTGAACTCTTGTTTCAACAAGTAGATTTAACCTTGTACTATTGTATTTTGCTTACTAAACATAGTACAGGCCCCAATTGTTGATTTGATGTACTTTTGCAAAATTATGAATAGCCTTCATCTATGTTAAAATTGTTCTATAATTTATCTATTGAGTTTACAATTTTTCTTTAAAATTGGAGATAGGGGTCTTGTTTGCACTTTCATTCCAAAACTCATCACATCTTGGTGTATGGTCTTACTCGAAGTTGGATGATCCCATGATCTGTAGTAGAGAAAAAATGGGGGAGGGGGATAAGTTCAAGGGTGGTTTGATAAGAGATGAATTGCACCTTCAGATTTTAGATGAAAATTTCTTTAATTCCTTTACAATTCATTTTGCGATCTTAACAGAATATAATTTGACAAATTAAATGTAGAATCTTTCAAAACCTACAGATTTTTATTTATTTCATCCAATTTCAAAGTTTGGCAATTGTACACATTTCACCCAACTACATATCTTTCATCTTGGCTTGTTTAGAGTTTCTTTGGTAAGGCAGTGAGACCTCTATGGATCTGCAATGTACGTTGTAACATTTATTGATATGTATTAATTCATTCATTCACATCTAAGAATAATTTGGAAATGACGAATATCCCATGAATTCAAGGTTGTAATAATTAAATGTTGTCAAACCGCTTTCAGTCAAAAATAAACTTGTCATATAGATTAGGTCCGGGACTTTACAGATTGAATGAGGTTATCCTTGATTAACTAATTTCTAATTTATTTTGATCAATCTTTTTGTCATACAATTTGTTCTATTCATTAGGGATTTAAATGATGTTTCTGTAACAACCGAACTACGGAATAAAATGGGATGATGGATTGCCCATAATATAGAAAATCTGAGCTGGGAATCTTTACATACACATAAATACTTTAAGTATATTTTAAAGCATATAAATGGTTTGTAAATGCCAGTAAAATCCTCTCATCATGTAGTAGGATTTATTACCTTACAAGGTCATATTACTTTTACAATACCAGATGCAGCTTCAATATTTCAATACCAATATATAGGAGGGTTATGTTATAGCTGGTTTAGAATATGGCATATATCCTGAGGGAAATATAAATATCTTCACAAAAACCACAGTGGAGTATTTATCATAAATATGCAGCGAGAGAATGAATCTTGCTTCCTCAAGATATCATTTCCATATCACATGAACTCGAACCCTCACATGATACATAATAATCTGTATCTTTCATGGATCTTCCAAACATTAAACATTTCAATTTAACTTATCTGTGATAAAAGAATAAGGTATAGGAGGAAATATTTTGCTTATAGCACGTAGTAAACAATACCAACAATGGGGTAACCTTAGATTTGAACTTTATTTATTGAGAAATAATATTCCTTTCAGTATCGTGTTACTCTGTGTGCACTGAGTCTAATTATAAACTACTCTCTGCCTAGTATAGACTAGATTACCATAGTTTACTATAGTTTAGCAGCCCCACCCCCAAGACCGATACCTGTGACAGCTCTAGTCTTAAACCATTTCACACCTACTGCTACTCTCAACCAATCAGCGAGCTTGAGGAACAAGTGCTAAATGCGTGCACAATAATTATACAATTACGTCAGAGAAAATGACCATATATTAGAAAATTTCTGATTCGCTCAGTGAGCAGAGATTTATTGAAAACTGAAAGAGTGAAGACGAAGCTCTCTTTTGAGAAGCGAAGTCCAACAAATGCAAAGGGTAGTATCATGTACATATATCATGTATATAGACATGTATATTTTATATTAAAGTTTATATATATGCTCGAGTGTGTGTATATCACTACAATTATATCTTTAATGTAAATAACTTCCTATTTTGATATCATCATTTTTATTATACATTATTGTAACTAATGTCCATGTAAAAATAGTTTACATGCTGTGTGAAACACATATAGAATCAATAAGTCAGATTTAGACTGACATTGTTTAGTTAATAAAAGATATGAACATGTATATTGTAGATTTTGCCTTTCGGGACATGCATGTTTTGCGACTAATTACACAATACCAAAGATTAGGCACGAAATATAAGTAGCATACCATGCTAACTTTTTACCTTAAAACTTTAGGTATATTTTTGTCAGTAAATAGATTGACTGATATCTCACTACATGTATATGATAAAATAAACATGTGTTTACTTATGTACAACAATTAAAGTATACAAGGTATTGTTCAATGGCAACAAAAATAAATGAAATATGCTCAATTTAAAGTGACATTAGCCCTAAATCTTATTTGATTTAAAAGTTTAAAAATCTACCTTTAAATGTACTCTAGTAAATAGAATGAAAAATACATGTACTATCTTTACAGTGAGTTCTCATCAACACATCCATAAATTGAAGTTGAAGTTGTGTTCAGCGTGTAAAATATATATCATTCCTATATAGAGCTCTCAAATGTGATAGTGACATATTAACTATGCTGAAAAATAGCCCAATCTTCTGTTTGTCCAGATTACTGTACTTTAAATGTCACTGCTTTTTATTTTGAGAAATATAAAATCTTTTCTCGTTTATCTTCTTCAGTTTTTTTTATAATGCTAGCCTTGACCCTAAAACTAAATATCTAACATTTATTTCATTTTGATGAGGAATTCTGTATTTACAGTGAATTGCAGCAAGAGAATTGGAGAGTGGTAAATTCCAATGAGAGAATAAGAGAGTGGTAAATTCCAATGAGAGAATTGGAGAGTGGTATATTCCAATGAGAGAATTAGAGAGTGGTAAATTCTAATGAGAGAATAAAAAAGTGGTAAATTCCAATGAGAGGATTAGAGAGTGGTATATTCCAATGAGAGAATAAGAGAGTGGTAAATTCCAATGAGAGAATTAGAGAGTGGTAAATTCCAATGAGAGAATAAGAGAGTGTAAATTCCAATGAGAGCATTGGAGAGTGGTATATTCCAATGAGAGAATTAGAGAGTGGTAAATTCCAATGAGAGAATTAGAGAGTGGTAAATTCTAATGAGAGAATTAGAGAGTAGTACATAACAATTAGAGAATTAGAGAGTAGAGAATTCCAGTGAGAGAAGTGGGAGAATTAAAGAGAAGTGTAATGTATCATTCTGATTTATCAGAGTCCCTCTTTACCTAACGCTTTTGAGAGAAAATGAACTATTCCAAAAGGATAGTAAAGGCTGTGGATCCCACAATGGTAATGCATGTATTGCACCTAAACATTAGCCGATAGATTTAGAATACAGACAATAGTTTTAATACACAGATATTATGTGCCAAATAGTATGCATCTACAGTTGGGGACAAAAATAAATGACAGGTCGATTTTCGATCACCATTTCCTAATTATGGTGGTCTGAAAGCCCATAATTTCCAATATTGTCTAGATACATATCCCTTAAAATTTGTATATTTTACATTTTGTATAATCTCATCCACTGATTTATGGCCTCTTGTAAATTCTCTTATTTTTAACATGGGAAATCCTCACTTCAGCAAATCCACCTGTCATTTATTTATGTCCCCAACTGTATGACTAGAACAAAGATATTTTTGAATGTTTTACTTTTGCTTTGGAAATGTTAGAACACAGACAAGGCAGTAATGCTGAGATTGCTCTAGCCTGAAATTGAATCTCAAAATCATTTTTTGGGATAATCTAGCTAATTTGGCCTTCACCCTTATAATCCAAGGCTATATCCACCCCTTGTATAAGCAGGCCTAAGACCAAGGCAGAGACTCAACAAGTCATCAAAAAATATATCCTGGGAGGGAGGACACATTCATAATACTATATAATACATGTACAAATAACTGGAATGGTTAAACCGAACTAAACTGAATGAATCTTGTAGGTGTAGGCTAATTGCTATTAGCATAGGGTGAGGCAATTAGATTAATTGATAGCTGTTTATCTTAATTGGCCTTTATTTACAAGCATGCTCTAAGATTAGACTAGAGTGTTTAGAGATGCACATTATCTTATATAATCCGACTCTGTCTAACTGATAGGATTAACCTTAGAGTCTTCAAGAATAAGAACACGTAGCATTTTCTCTGGATACAGGATTTGACGGGATTATGATGAGGAGCAAAATTTTAATTTTACCAATTTTGAATTATAGATTAAAATTGGCATCTAGGTGCATATGAGTGCATGTAGATCTGCATTTGTATATTGCGCTTTTCAACTAATCAAAGTTAGGAAATGTGGTATAATTTCTAAATTGACTGGATGGCTGGATGCAGTGTCCAGTTGGTTAAATGCTGGGTAAATCATTGATATAAGGTCCGAGTCCCATGAGGCATGATAAAAGCAAAATTTACAATAAACTTGTTAAACAGTAATACAGGTGCTATAAACACCAAAAGTGGACAACATCACAAGTTTTTATTTATTTGACCTCATCTGAAGCTGAGTAAGTTTAGGCATAATGTCAAGAAGAATGAAATACTTTATTTTGAAAATAGAGGCTGTGTGCTAGCAAAAGAAGACCCTCTAAGGAGAAAACATGATTCTGCATTTGTAGTTGTCTAACTTGTTTTTTCTACCAGTACCTCCACTGAGCATCATGATAAAACATGTCATATCATTTCTTCTCAGTTCTGAAATGTTTCTGGTGATACAGAAATGGTTGAATCAGTATCAGAATGCAACTGGATGTTAAAAAACAAGTCTCTACAATAACTCCTCTATATATACAGTAAAACCTGTATACAGTGAACACCTATCGAGCTGCAAAAACTGTTGGGAGGTGTTCACTACAGAGGCGATTTTATACATAAGTCAGTCTAGAGAAGGGTGTTCAATTAAGACATGTTTCACTGTATTTGGCAAGTGTTGCACTCCCTTCTTGCCACCAAAGTATCCCCCCCCCGCAAACATAAGGGACACACATGTGAAAGAAGATGGCAAGGAGAGGTTACCGAAGGAGAGGGGATCTACATAATGGACAAATGATTGACATAACTGATTATTGCAACATTCACATTAAGAAAATCTTTAACCAATTTGAAGTTTTAGTAATAAATACTGACATCAAATTGATGTCATGCCTCATTTGACATCAAAACTTAATTGATATCAATACTCAACTTACCTCCAAGACAGGTCCTGCTCCAAGTATAGTATGTTCAACACCACTTCCATGTAGACCTTTCTGACTCAATGCCGTCAAATGATGTAACAACAAGTTTGTACTTTCTGTTTTTCCAGACCCGCTTTCCCCAGATATCACAATACATTGATCCCTCCGCTGATGCACCATGTTATAAAACGCAGCATCCGCTATTGCAAATATATGGGGATGTAGCTCACCTAGGCGTTTGTTCTGGTACATTTTCACATACTTAGGGTTATATATCGGGTAAAATTTAAAAGGATTCATTGCAATTAAAATAGAGCCTACGTAAGTATATATATTCCCATTTTGAAATCGAGCACGAAGGTTATCCATTAAAGTTCGCTCGTTGAGATCGGGAAGGTTGCACAAATCTTGGTACTCCTTTGTTTGGGGTTGGACTAGAAATGTACTCATGAAGTTATCAATTGGGCTTGGATCTAAGTACTCAACCCATGTATTTATTGAACTACTTGTTCGTACTTTCTCTTTCTGTCTTAGATAAAATCTATATTCAGTCACATGTGGATTGCTTCGATCTTGCATAACCTCATGACTAACTTTTGGCCACAATTTTTGAATCTTGACAGGGTATTCGGATGCTCCGATCCTACGTTCTTTACATAACTGACCAACAGAAAAGAACACCTCTGCTAGTTCAAGGTCATCTTCGGTGTTGCTCATGTGAAGTTTTGCTGCAGCCGCTGAAACAATATCAATGGCGTATTGCTCTTTGTTGGATTCAATAGACACATATTCGATCTCATTGCTGAGGTTTCCAGTATATATCCGCACCATGTATGTATCATAACTTGGTGGTCTTCTCGCTGTGATGATGTCACTACGTGGTCGACGTTTCACCCCTGGTTGATCACGGGTTGTTGCCATGGTGATTGAGTATTGGAATCAAATTCCAAGTATGGAGATGTTTTGTTCACATCATGAATATGTTACTATAGTTTCATTTCCATTATTGCGTCCCATTTCTGCATCTATAAAACAAAAGATGAAAACTGTGTACAAGCATCAGGTAGCATCAATTCTTCTATAAATCTCATAAATTAACTAACATCAATTCCTATTAATATATTTTTAGAAAGATGTAATACATGACATGATCCTCAACTGTACGTGTTAAAAACATTATTGAGTATGAAAAATTATGTCGTAACTTGGAAGCCTTCTATTCCTTCAAGTAACGTCCTGTTGAAGAAAAACACAATATTAGCGAAAATGTAGACTGAGTGGTGAGAATCCAAAATTAGCAAGAATCCTAAGTAAAATATCATCTGTGCCACAAAGATTACCCTAAAATCTTATAAACAAAACAATTATAGTTATCTGCATTTGTCCATCCTTCCCATTTAATTCAGTCAATCCAATCAAGAACTTCCTACCAATATCCAGAGCGGCTAATGTAATAACTGAATGCAATGCTCAGTGCTATAGTTACAGGCTTAAGAATAGCCATGGTATAGATGCTATTCTATTTCTACTTAAAGACGCAATAATGTGTCCCACTGGTAACCTATTAACCATAAGTTGTTTTATGTAATTTCAAATCAATATTAACTGCTCTGTAAAATTGCTATTACCATAAACTTAAATATCTAGATACTATTGAAAAATTATCTGTCAAAATATAGGTGGTAGAGACTAAGAGAAGTGGTGTGGGTGAGAAGGGGGTCTATGCAATATTTCATGAAATCATAGAACAACCATTCCTTAGAATTTTACAAAAACCTGCTAATTCTGACCAAAAAACCTTTACAAAAAAGGTTAGATCAGGATTTTTGAAGAACCCTACCCTGCACGCAAAGTCCAGTTATAAACTATCTTCTGCCTATAGTATAGACTATATTACAGTTTAGCAGCCCCGCCCCAAAGCTTGGTGCCTGTGACAGCCCCAGTAATAAATCATTTCAAATCTACCATGCTTACCCTTTCTCAACCAATCAGCAAAGTGGAAGGAACGCATGCTAAATATGTGCTCATTAACTATGTGGTGATGGCATAGGAAATGACCATGTAGAAAGCCATCCGTATTACGATGACGAACTCTGATTGGCTCGGTGAGATCAGAGATTTATTGTAAACTGAAAGAGTGAAGACGAAGCTCTCTTTCAAGAAGTGAAGTCGAACGAATCTAAAGGATACGAGAACCCCCCCCCCCCCCCCCATCAGCCATCTTCTCCCTGACAAACCTACTTGAGACTAAACAATTTCTAGATACATTGTATATATTTTAGATATATTTTCCAAACATTGTTTATTGTATTGGTACTGGGCTCACATAATATTGCTCAAAAAGAGAAAAGTGAATGATGGCTAAAATGGCAGACAATATATAAAGAGGGAATCCTATCGACAAGGGTCTTAAAACGTGCCACTATTGTGGACTGACCAAAAGACAGATGGGCAAATCAATGTGAACTAAACCAGCTGAAAATAAAAAATGATTTAATTTTTTGGCAATTTTTTGTAACAAAATTATTTCATACAACGACTCTTTATATTGACATGACTTTACAATGCAAGACACCTGAAATTGACAATGAATTAACAGTGGATTTTACAAGATGAAAATGGCAGCCATTTTGAAAAAGGGCGAGCTCTTGAACCAGGAGCCATAGGGAAGTTTTCTGTATTGATGTTGAACAGATATAACTTAAAATGGGAATCCTATCAACAGAGTTTTTAAAATGCCACTATTGTTGACAGACAGACAGAAAGACAGACGGACAAGTAGTTGATTGCAATAGCTCACCTATGTAAGCTAAAAACCCTAGAGGTTTGTCAACTAGGAAGTTTAATAATAATGGAAAATCATGCTCAAGTTATTAGCTTTATTGAAATTATCAAATGATGTCATCTTAACTTTTAAAGGTTTGATATACGACGAATTGATTGGGAGATTTTTATATCCCATTTGGGGAATAATGTTTCATTATATGCTCCATCGAACATTTCCCCAACGTCTTTGCAAGAAAAATACTCTAATAAAATTGCTTCTAACAAGCAATAAATATTCTGGTAGTTATTTACATTTCTAATATTTCTCAGTTTATATGTATTCTACTTCCATGATATCTTAATTAAGTTAATCTCTAATTAAAAGATTATTTCAATTTTTGAAGCAGGAAAACTAGGTTATTGAAGAACACTGTTCTTTATATTAGCAATTTACTGTCTTTTTAAACTATTCTGCTTGAAAAACATAGTAATATATAGTCATACTATGCATTGTGCATATAATTCAAAAAAAATCCCACAAACGTGAACCCCTGAAGAGAACCTATAAATCATACAAATCATCTCACAATATTACTTGCGCATACCTCTCCATCTCAGATAATCCAGTAGATTCATTACCAGTAATTAAACCAGTTCAAGTGTGGCTGTATAATATAATGGTAAGACATGTACAAATATTCTTCACAATGAATATCCATCTCGATCACAAGTTATTTCACCAACTATTAGGAATTGGGAGTCTTGTATCAAGCCCACATCTTATATCCTTCAGGATCACATGTCAATGAAAGAGCTATTGGAGGTTGGAGAAAACTTGATGATGAGTGAACATTATGTTTTTGTTTCACATTGAAAAACTCAGAAAACACTAAAATTGCAAAACATGAAAGAGAAAAGACAAGACCTACTGAACAACAATATCAATCCTCATACTAAATCAACACTCTAAAATTAATCCAAAAGGATCACCTTGACATAAACAGGAATGTGATGTGATGAATTATCATGATGCAAAAAGCCCATTTATCTACACATCAGTACATATCTACTGATCACTTGAAGTACCTGAACAGTATAAAATGTATAACTGAGTATTTGTGACATTTATAAGAAAAATATGATTTTTAAAATACAACTGAAATTACAACTGATTTTAGACAAGAACTCAATGCTCTTTCATTTTGCACAATTACTGACTTACCTTGGTCAAAGCATAACTGTAGCATTGTATGTGACAAGAAACAAGTACATCTACCTGCTCAAATCATGACTGGAAAGTATATCCTTATGTAACTTAAACATGCATTGCATGTGAAAGACCAAACAAAACAACATTGAAGCCTTTCTAGTATCATAATCACCTTATTACGTGTTCCAAATCAATTCCAAGCTGTACATATCCAAAGCATCATGCCTTTCCGAAAGGCTATTTCTTTCAGCTATAAAAAATGAAATGTCAAGAAAAACATAAACCAACCAAACATTACCAATCCTCTGATTGAGTTTTGCATGTTGCTTGGAAAGTAAATAAATCAAATTATGGCACATGTGAAAAAAATACAAAACAAAGTGAAATAAAACTTTTTCATTATTTTCATATCAGGTTTGAGATGTATATAAGCACCCTATGCAGACAGAGCCTGTGGGAAATATTGGGTGCGGAGCAAATGAGCGGAGGGTGCGGAGCTAACGGTCATTTTTGAATTTAAATTTGGGATATTTCTGAAACTAAGCCGTTTTGGGACTTCAAATATACCAAGATATGTGTATTTGACACCAAATATCAATACAATTGTGAAAATAGTAGCGCAATTCATTCTATAGCGACGCAGTGTGCCTTAAACCTTTCCCAGACCTATATATTTTGAAATTATCCTTTTAATACTGAGTCCCCAGCATTCATAAACAAGACACACAGTGATAAATATCGCACTTTGAAGAGCAAACTGGCCACCATGCAATTTACCCAGCATGGCCAAAACTAATCAGACCTTGGCACTAGTCTGCTCTTGCATCTGTAAACATTTCAAGTTGACAAGGTTAGCGGTTTTCCTGCAATTTTGATGACAAGAATTTATTTGTAGTCTGGAACTTTGGGAAAATTTAGATAACATCGTTTGTGACCTAATTTGATAACCTTCGACCTTGAAAATTTAACTTTTTCAGACCTCAGTAGGTGTTTTGTAATTAAGCTGACCTAAATTTAAATCCAAAATATCAATTTAGAAAATTAACTTTTTTGACCTTTTCAAGGTCACTGAAGGTGAATGAAAGGTCAAATCTGAAATCTAAGGTCAGATTTGAACTTCTGAGAACTTGTAGATGTTTTTTAAAAAAAAAATTGGTCAATTTGGAGCAAGTTGAAAAATTCAAAATGGCCACCAAATTGAAAAATTCAAAATGGCCACCATGTAATTCAGCCAGCATACCCAAAACCTAATCAGATCTTGGCAATAGTCTGCTCTTGCATCTGTAAAAATTTCAAGTTGAACGGATAAGTGGTTTTCCTGGAATTTTGATGACAAGATTTGTTGAAAAATTCAAAATGGCCGCCACGTAGTTTACCCAGCATGCCCTTAACCTAATCAGATCTTGGTACTAGTCTGCTCTTGCATGTGTAAAAATTTCAAGTTGAACAGGTAAGCAGTTATCCTGGAAATTTGATGACAAGATTTGGTTTATGTCCCGCCCGCCCGCCCGCCCAACAGCACAAGACGACGGCAATATAGCACTTTTTCAAAGTGCGATAAAAATGGTGTTCAAGGTACACTATCTATACAAATTATTTTTGCATCTTGGAAGCCAGGCAGTATCTGTGTGATTTTATAAAAATTCGGAAATGTTTTTCAGATATGAGCCCCCTCTAAATATTGGGTGCGGAGGAGCTCCATAAAAGTACCTCCACACCCAATATTTAGAGGGGGCTCATATCTGAAGAACATTTCCGAATTTTTATAAAATCACACAGATACTGCCTGGCTTCCAAGATGCAAAAATAATTTGCATGGGTAGTGTATCTTGAACACCATTTTTTATGAATGCTGGGGACGCAGTATTAAAAGCATAGTCTCAAAATATATAGGTCTGGGAAATGTTTAAGGCATACTGCGTCGCTATAAAATGAATTGCACTACTATTTTCACAATTTTATTGATATTTGGTGTCAAATACACATATCTTGGTATATTTGAAGTCCCAAAACGGCTTAGTTTCAGAAATATCCCAATTTTAAATTCAA